GGTGTTGTTGTAGGACTATCTGTTCCTTGACAGGTGTTGTTGCAGGGCTGTGTTCCTTGACAGGTGTTGTTGTTGGACTATCTGTTCCTTGACAGGTGGTGTTGCAGGGCTGTGTTCCTTGACAGGTGTTGTAGGACTATCTGTTCCTTGACAGGTGTTGTTGCAGGACTATCTGTTCCTTGACAGGTGTTGTTGCAGGACTGTCTGTTCCTTGACAGGTGTGTTGTAGGACTATCTGTTCCTTGACAGGTGTTGTTGCAGGACTTGACATCTGTTCCTTGACAGGTGTTGTTGTAGGACTATCTGTTCCTTGACAGGTGTTGTTGCAGGACTATCTGTTCCTTGACAGGTGTTGTTGCAGGACTATCTGTTCCTTGACAGGTGTTGTTGCAGGGCTGTCTGTTCCTTGACAGGTGTTGTTGTAGGACTATCTGTTCCTTGACAGGTGTTGTTGCAGGACTATCTGTTCCTTGACAGGTGTTGTTGCAGGACTATCTGTTCCTTGACAGGTGTTGTTGTAGGACTATCTGTTCCTTGACAGGTGTTGTTGCAGGACTATCTGTTCCTTGACAGGTGTTGTTGCAGGACTATCTGTTCCTTGACAGGTGTTGTTGCAGGGACTATCTGTTCCTTGACAGGTGTTGTTGTAGGACTATCTGTTCCTTGACAGGTGTTGTTGCAGGGCTGTGTGTTCCTTGACAGGTGTTGTTGCAGGACTATCTGTTCCTTGACAGGTGTTGTTGCAGGACTATCTGTTCCTTGACAGGTGTTGTTGCAGGACTATCTGTTCCTTGACAGGTGTTGTTGCAGGACTATCTGTTCCTTGACAGGTGTTGTTGTAGGACTATCTGTTCCTTGACAGGTGTTGTTGCAGGACTATCTGTTCCTTGACAGGTGTTGTTGCAGGACTATCTGTTCCTTGACAGGTGTTGTTGTAGGACTATCTGTTCCTTGACAGGTGTTGTTGCAGGACTATCTGTTCCTTGACAGGTGTTGTTGCAGGACTATCTGTTCCTTGACAGGTGTTGTTGCAGGGCTATCTGTTCCTTGACAGGTGTTGTTGCAGGACTCTGTTCCTTGACAGGTGGTGTTGCAGGACTATCTGTTCCTTGACAGGTGTTGTTGTAGGACTATCTGTTCCTTGACAGGTGGTGTTGCAGGACTATCTATGGAGGTTGACCTGTAACGGTACAGAGGTAGTATTGTGGCCTTGGTTTTACCTCTGTACAAAACATGTCACTTATGTTTTCCTCGTAAATCACTACAGTTAGGAAAGGCTCACATGTCTCTGGCTAATATTACTTAATAGGAGGAAAATCTCCCTTTTTTTAGAAAATTTTTACTCGTTGGCATTATCATGGTGAAAGATATGGATAAAAAAAGAAGGCCTTTTCTTTAGTTACCGTTACTTACATTTTCTCTCATGCTAAGAAAATGATAAAAAGTTAAGGGATAACTACTGATTCAATTCTCAAGTCCTGAGAGCCACATCAGAATTACCTGAATTTACCCCAGGGCCACTAACACACTAATGACAGGAAGGCAGCAGTTTGTCAATGGTCTCTGCATTTGACCTGATGATTTTTTTTAAGTTGAATTTTAAAATTCAGTAAAGTTTTGTAATTTACAGCTTGGGGGAGTAGACGGTTCCAGGGGGTTATAACCTGTGTGGGAGAAAGCATTAATATAAAATAATTAAGATGAAAGTGTGTATATCCTAGACATGGTTTGGAACACTGGCACGGGTGTGCCTCCAGACTATTCCCAGACCTGAGGAGTATGAGTTACGAGGAAAGACCAGGGGCCACATTCACGAAAGCACTTACGCAAGCACTTACGAACCTGTACATCTTTTCTCAATCTTTGGCGGCTTTGTTTCCAATTATTAAACAGTTAATGAGCTCGGAAGCACCAGGAGGCTGTTTATAACAATAACAACAGTTGATTGGCAAGTTTTCATGCTTGTAAACTGTTTAATAAATGTAACCAAAGCCGTCAACGATTAAGGAAAGATGTACACGTTCGTAAGTGCTTGTGTAAGTGCTTTCGTGAATCTGGCCCCCTGTGGCACTGCACCTCGCCTCACTGGAGGACACAAGGGTTAGGGGGACAAGATTATCATTGTAATTGACAGACAGACACATTGTTTGGGAACACGAAGACGGGGACACAGGTAGAAGCAGAGTTTCCACCTGTGTCCCCTTGTGTCATGAACCATAGAGATATTAGAAAGCACTTTTTTTAGTGTCAGAGTAGTTATCAAATGGAATGCACTAGGCAGTGATGTGATGGAGGCTGACTCCATACACAGTTTTCAATGTAGATATGAAGGAGCCCAGTAAGCTCAGGAATCTGTACACCTGTTGATTGACAGTTGAGAGGCGGGACCAAAGAGCCAAAGCTCAACCCCCGCAAGCACAACCAGCCTTTTATTGGTTAACCAGGTGAGCACAGGTGAAAGCAACTGCTCAGAGCTACAGACATATACAGACTTGTCAAAGTAGTGAACAAAGGCATACCTTACCTACCTTGAGGTTTCCTTGAGGTGCTTCCGGGGCTTAGTGTCCCCGCGGCCCGGTCGTCGACCAGGCCTCCTGGTTGCTGAGTACTGAGAAGCAACATGGTTGAGGCAGACACCATTGTTTATGACCTCAACCTAGACAAGCACATTTAGGTGAGTACAGTGAGTATAGGGGAGGGAACATTTAGGAGAGTACAGTGAGTATAGGGGAGGGAACATTTAGGAGAGTACAGTGAGTATAGGGGAGGGAACATTTAGGAGAGTACAGTGAGTATAGGGGAGGGAACATTTAGGAGAGTACAGTGAGTATAGGGGAGGGAACATTTAGGATGAGGTCGATACTTGGTGCTTCCTGCAGGAGCTTTAGTACGTCTGCTGCCTTGTCCTAGCACCCGGATACTCTCTCATACTCGGGGGTATACCAAGAGTATACCCCCGGGTGGGTTCTGGGAGTTCTTCCATTCCCAAAGCCAGTCTTGTCTTGTGGTTACTTGATCTAGAAGGCTGTTGCGTGGGGCGGCCAGCAGGTCTACATGTACATAACTCTGCTGCTTCAGGACTTGCTGCACCAGCCACAATTGTCTAATTGTGTTTGGAAAATTTTGTTTTATTTATTCTGGCAATATTTCTTATATTTTTGGGAGGACATTGAATAGTCGTGAACCACAGGTGTTCGTAGTGTTCTCTGGTCGTGACTATGGTCGTCCAGGAGGATGGGGACCCCCGACCTGGTCTCCTACAGGACCCCCGACCTTATCGGGGACCGGGCCGCGGGGACGTTGAACCCCGAAATCAACACAAGGTATGGTACCTCCACTTATTACTGGGTCTGCTCTGCATATTCGACCATATTTTTTGATGCAGTAATTGTTAGTTTATTGTGCATATTTGGGACCCGGGCTTCCAGTATCGTCCTTGTATATTCAGTCAAATCAATCACATAAGTTATTCATAGATAATTGTACATTTATAATTGGGAAAGTTTACATAACTCGTCTGACATCATTGTTTAAACTCGTCTGACATCATTGTTAATAGATTCCTTGTAAGTTGTGCTCTGTGAGTAGATGAGCTTATATCGTACCCTGTGTTTCGCTTCAGTTCATGTTTACTATGCTTGGAATTTATCAGTTAAAATTTGTGATTTTCTGCGGCCCAGACGAAGACCTTATTGATACCTACTTGTAGTTTTCAGTCTTCTACTGAGGTAATTGTTATGCTGATTGCTGTATTGTCGAGCCGGTCGGCCGAGCGGACAGCACGCGGGACTTGTGATCCTGTGGTCCTCGGTTCGATCCCAAGCGCCAGCGAGAAACAATGGGCAGAGTTTCTTTCACCCTATGCCCCTGTTACCTAGCAGTAAAATAGGTACCTGGGTGTTAGTCAGCTGTCACGGGCTGCTTCCTGGGGGTGGAGGCCTGGTCGAGGACCGGGCCGCGGGGACACTAAAGCCCCGAAATCATCTCAAGATAACCTCTCAAGATTGTCTGCAAAAGATGGCACGAAGCTGTAAGATACGACCAAAACCTTGGATCAGAAAATGAAGAAATGACGACGTTCGCGGCCATTATCAAGTTGTAACTTTTATTATGTCTATAGTATTTGGTGTGTGAATGAGAATAAGCAGTGGTGCTAGGACTGTGCCCTGAGGTACAACCTCTCCTCTTACAAATTACATCTGAATATGGCTGTTTGCCCATATGACCGAACATGGACGTAGTTTAAAAATGAAAAATAATTGAAAATTATTATTTTTTTCCAAAACAGCAAGTTCACGGTCCTGTGGTAGGTTAGGAAGGCAGGAAGTTCTCCTAAGGTTTCAAAACGTCATGAAAACCGTTAATTTAATTGAAAGTTTCCTCTCCTAACCTCACCGAGTAAGCCGGAGGACTTAACACAAAAAACGAGACTACGTCACTTTCGTGAGTCGATTTCATTTCAAATTATGTCCAATTTTGGCCATAGTGCGCATACGAGCGAAAAGTGGCGTTATCTTAAGAGGACGGGTTGAAGGTACGGAGTTTATCACTGTGTTTGAACTTTACTTAAATGTTACTCATTGCATTATCATCGAGAGGAAATTGAATATCTATCCGCCCTACTTTACCTGTTATTTCTGTTGATCTCATTTTATGAGGTATCTCCATGGTCGCATTTATCAGTTGCCTTTATATAGTTCGTCTACAATATATGCATTTAGTTTTTCTTCTATTGCTTTCTTGAATTTGTAATAGTTGGTCAATAATTGCGACAGGCAGAGATCTTCCCGCTCGGAATGTGTTCCTCTCACACCCGGGTACTGCCTAGCTCTTGCGACTTTTTCATTAAAGTACTATCTGATAACGATTAAGTCTACGTCACCCATGGCGGGTGAAGGCGGCCAGTAGGAGCGCGCGCCGGTGACGTCATGGATGGTATTGACCAATGGCGGTGGTGGCGGATGTGACCAATGGGGGCTGGTGAGAGAGAGCTGGGCGGTGGAGGCCACATGGAGGTGTTGTGTTGACAGTTGTGTTAGTGTGTGTGTAGGGGACGCACGCGTCTTTATCTCGCTCGTACAGGTGCCAAGTGCCGAACATGTTAGCTGTGATGGTGCCGGGGGGAGAGTTGTTAGCCTCCCACTGGTGGAAACCCTTACCATAAAATGATAAACAATTTGAATAAAGACGATAAAGTGTTTGGTGTTGATATGTTTGGAGGATGGGAGTGATAAGATAGCGGGTTATCTCGTGGAGGTGGGAAGGTGTAAGTGGAGATAAGTGTTGGTGTGGGGAGAGTGTAGGGGTGGTGAGGGCAGGTGTTGGTGACCCACAAGATACAAGGGCGGGCTGCTGCTGCTGCTGCTGCTGCTCACAGGGTTTCCTGGGCTTCACCCCACCAACCTCTTCCCCCGTACTGGTAACGGGATTGGGGGCGGGGGGGGGGGGGGTAAAGATATGGCCGCCGTCCTGTTTTGATAACTGAATCCTCTACCACCACCACCACTGGTGCCTCTACCACTGGTGACTCTACCACTGGTGGCTCTACCACTGGTGCCTCTACCACTCCATCACTGATGGCACCACCACTGGCTCCACTACCACCACCACTGGTGGCTGCTCCTCCACCACCACCACTGGTGGCTGCTTCTCCACCACCACCACTGGTGCCTCTACCACGCCACCACTGGTGGCTCCCCCAGATGGGAAAGGGAGGAAAGGAGACCAGGTGGAGGTGGTGAGAAAAATAAGAAGACAACTACACGTCCAGAAAGATAAAATATTTTGAGGGTGATATAGTTAAAAATGTTACACCGGACACACACGAACTGGATAACATCAGCAGGATATGAGTCGCTGACAAACATTAGAACGTCATTTCACAACTTACGTGAACACCGTACGTGAGCCTGTTCTTTGTGAAACATGGCAGCGGCTTTAAATTAAGAGACATTAGGACAAGAGAAGTGGAAGGTGGAAGGACAAATGAGTGGACTAAATAGTAATAAATAGTGTTAGCGTGTAGTGGAGGAGTGTAGAGGAAGCAGAGGTGCTGGAAGCCACCTCCAGCCACAACTATAAGGCCAGACTACACCAACACTTCTAATATTATGATAGTCAAGTTATAACGTGAACAGTTAGGCACTGGTAGGTGTGTACTGGTAGGTGGGCACAGGCACCACCACCACACCCCCCACCACACCACACCGGTGCCACACCCCCCACACCACGCCACACCCTCCACCACACCACGCCACACCCTCCACCACACCACCTACCCGTGGTGGACCGATATGAGGGTTGAGGTGACCTACTCACCCTCCCCACCCAGCATGACACACTTCCCCCTCCCACACCTGCACTTACCTGCCTCACAACACCTACACTCCTACCCTTTCCTACACGGCAGAGGGTGACCACATTTGATGTGACGGACCCGTAACATTGTCCTCTCCTCCCGGTACGATAGACTGGTGGGTTGTAGGTTCCTCCCGGTAAGGTACCTCTTACTGTAGGAGGTACCTTAACATGGTGCTGGGAGAATATTTTGTCATAACATAATACCTCCCTCTGTGAGGTAGTCTCTCTCCATGTGAGGTAGCTTCTCTCCCTGTGAGGTAGCTTAACATGGTGCTGGGAGAATATTTTGTCATAACATAATACCTCCCTCTGTGAGGTAGTCTCTCTCCATGTGAGGTAGTCTCTCTCCATGTGAGGTAGCCTCTCTCCCTGTGAGGTAGCCTCTCTCCATGTGAGGTAGCCTCTCTCCCTGTGAGGTAGCCTCTCTCCATGTGAGGTAGCCTCTCTCCCTGTGAGGTAGCCTCTCCCTGTGAGGTAGCCTCTCTCCCTGTGAGGTAGCTTCTCTCCCTGTGAGGTAGCCTCTCTCCCTGTGAGGTAGCTTCTCTCCCTGTGAGGTAGCCTCTCTCCCTGTGAGGTAGCTTCTCTCCCTGTGAGGTAGCTTCTCTCCCTGTGAGGTAGCCTCTCTCCCTGTGAGGTAGCCTCTCTCCCTGTGAGGTAGCCTCTCTCCCTGTGAGGTAGCCTCTCTCCATGTGAGGTAGCCTCTCTCCCTGTGAGGTAGCCTCTCTCCCTGTGAGGTAGCTTCTCTCCCTGTGAGGTAGCTTCTCTCCCTGTGAGGTAGCCTCTCTCCCTGTGAGGTAGCCTCTCTCCCTGTGAGGTAGCCTCTCTCCCTGTGAGGTAGCCTCTCTCCCTGTGAGGTAGCCTCTCTCCCTGTGAGGTAGCCTCTCTCCCTGTGAGGTAGCCTTTCTCCCTGTGAGGTAGCCTCTCTCCCTGTGAGGTAGCTTCTCTCCCTGTGAGGTAGCTTCTCTCCCTGTGAGGTAGCTTCTCTCCCTGTGAGGTAGCCTCTCTCCCTGTGAGGTAGCCTCTCCCTGTGAGGTAGCCTCTCTCCCTGTGAGGTAGCCTCTCTCCCTGTGAGGTAGCCTCTCTCCCTGTGAGGTAGCCTCTCTCCCTGTGAGGTAGCTTCTCTCCCTGTGAGGTAGCCTCTCTCCCTGTGAGGTAGCCTTTCTCCCTGTGAGGTAGCCTTTCTCCCTGTGAGGTAGCCTCTCTCCCTGTGAGGTAGCCTCTCTCCCTGTGAGGTAGCCTCTCTCCATGTGAGGTAGCCTCTCTCCCTGTGAGGTAGCCTCTCTCCATGTGAGGTAACCTCTCTCCCTGTGAGGTAGCCTCTCTCCCTGTGAGGTAGCCTCTCTCCATGTGAGGTAGCCTCTCTCCCTGTGAGGTAGCCTCTCTCCCTGTGAGGTAGCCTCTCTCCATGTGAGGTAGCCTCTCTCCCTGTGAGGTAGCCTCTCTCCCTGTGAGGTAGCCTCTCTCCCTGTGAGGTAGCCTCTCTCCCTGTGAGGTAGCCTCTCTCCATGTGAGGTAACCTCGCCCTGTTCCCGCAGTGAATCAGATGACGTCAGTAAACAAAATATTTACATATTTTTTACCACCTTCTGATAACCTTATTTTTATCCCATGTGTTGAGTGTGCTATATTGTGTTGGTGGTGGTGGTGGTGGGTACAGTGTATTGTGGTGGTGTTGGTGGTGGTGGGTACAGTGTGTTGGTGGTGGTGTTGGTGGTGGTGGGTACAGTGTGTTGGTGGTGGTGGTGGTGGGTACAGTGTGTTGGTGGTGGTGGTGGTGGTGGTGGGTACAGTGTGTTGTGTTGGTGGTGGTGGTGGTGGTGGGTACAGTGTGTTGGTGGTGGTGTTGGTGGTGGTGGTGGGTACAGTGTGTTGGTGGTGGTGGTGTTGGTGGTGGTGGGTAGTGTGTTGTGTTGGTGGTGGTGGTGGGTAGTGTGTTGTGTTGGTGGTGGTGGTGGGTAGTGTGTTGTGTTGGTGGTGGTGGTGGGTAGTGTGTTGTGTTGGTGGTGGTGGTGGGTAGTGTGTTGTGTTGGTGGTGGTGGTGGTGGGTACAGTGTGTTGGTGGTGGTGTTGGTGGTGGTGGGTACAGTGTGTTGTGTTGGTGTTGGTGGTGGTGGGTACAGTGTGTTGGTGGTGGGTACAGTGTGTTGTGTTGGTGTTGGTGGTGGTGGGTACAGTGTGTTGTGTTGGTGGTGGTGGTGGTGGTGGGTACAGTGTGTTGGTGGTGGTGGTGGGTAGTGTGTGTTGTGTTGCTGGTGGTGGTGGTGGTGGTGGTGGGTACAGTGTGTTGGTGGTGGTGGGTACAGTGTGTTGTGTTGGTGTTGGTGGTGGTGGGTACAGTGTGTTGTGTTGGTGGTGGTGGTGGTGGGTACAGTGTGTTGTGTTGGTGGTGGTGGTGGTGGGTACAGTGTGTTGGTGGTGGTGTTGGTGGTGGTGGGTACAGTGTGTTGTGTTGGTGGTGGGTACAGTGTATTGTGTTGGTGGTGGTGGTGGTGGGTACAGTGTGTTGTGTTGGTGGTGGTGGTGGTGGTGGTGGGTACAGTGTGTTGGTGGTGGTGGTGGTGGTGGTGGGTACAGTGTGTTGTGTTGGTGGTGGTGGTGGGTACAGTGTATTGTGTTGGTGGTGGTGGTGGTGGGTACAGTGTGTTGTGTTGGTGGTGGTGGTGGGTACAGTGTGTTGTGTTGGTGTTGGTGGTGGTGGTGGGTACAGTGTATTGTGGTGGTGTTGGTGGTGGTGGGTACAGTGTGTTGTGGTGGTGGTGGGTACAGTGTGTTGTGGTGGTGGTGGGTACAGTGTGTTGTGTTGCTGGTGGTGGTGGTGGTGGGTACAGTGTATTGTGTTGGTGGTGGTGGTGGGTACAGTGTGTTGTGTTGGTGGTGGTGGTGGTGGGTACAGTGTATTGTGGTGGTGTTGGTGGTGGTGGGTACAGTGTGTTGTGTTGGTGGTGGTGGTGGTGGGTACAGTGTGTTGTGTTGGTGGTGGTGGTGGTGGGTACAGTGTGTTGTGTTGGTGTTGGTGGTGGTGGTGGGTACAGTGTGTTGTGTTGGTGCTGGTGGTGGTGGTGGGTACAGTGTGTTGTGTTGGTGTTGGTGGTGGTGGTGGTGGTGGGTACAGTGTATTGTGTTGGTGTTGGTGGTGGTGGTGGGTACAGTGTATTGTGTTGGTGGTGGTGGTGGGTACAGTGTATTGTGTTGGTGGTGGTGGTGGTGGGTACAGTGTGTTGTGTTGGTGGTGGTGGTGGGTACAGTGTGTTGTGGTGGTGGTGGTGGTGGTGGGTACAGTGTGTTGTGTTGGTGGTGGTGGTGGTGGGTACAGTGTGTTGTGGTGGTGGTGGGTACAGTGTGTTGTGTTGGTGGTGGTGGGTACAGTGTGTTGTGTTGGTGGTGGTGGTGGTGGGTACAGTGTGTTGTGTTGGTGGTGGGTACAGTGTGTTGTGTTGGTGGTGGTGGTGGGTACAGTGTGTTGTGTTGCTGGTGGTGGTGGTGGTGGGTACAGTGTGTTGGTGGTGGTGTTGGTGGTGGTGGGTACAGTGTGTTGTGTTGGTGTTGGTGGTGGTGGGTACAGTGTGTTGGTGGTGGTGTTGGTGGTGGTGGGTACAGTGTGTTGTGTTGGTGTTGGTGTTGGTGGGTACAGTGTGTTGTGTTGGTGGTGGTGGTGGTGGTGGGTACAGTGTGTTGTGTTGGTGGTGGGTACAGTGTGTTGTGTTGCTGGTGGTGGTGGTGGT